TGATAGGAGACAGTTGACAGTATGGTTTTGGGTATTAGCTGCACTCTCACATTTACATTACAAAGATTTGCCGAAAAGTCAGGAAAATAAGTGTTTCGTCTTAATTGGAGCCTTTTGCAGCAAGCTTCTGCTTATTTGCACATGAAATTAACCCGCGTCCGCACTGCTTTGAACTCCGCTACGGTTTTGTCTTTGGTATCCATTCTGGCAAATGCAAAAACTAGCTGCTCAAAAACTTAAAGGGAAATTCTGGAAAGTGTAATGGAAGCTTCCACGGAAAACTGTGGCCTGAAGAAACTATCTGTTTAATTGCTGAATCACCGTACAGATTCATATTCAAATAAGGACGTACAAATGTGGTTAACGTTCTTAATGCTTTGCATCGTCAAAAGATTTAGGTAGACCGACTTATTCGACGTGGATGGAGTGAGGAAAAAGCTTTGCGGCAAGCATTTCACGATACCAACGAACAGATGCTTGGAGAATTGAGTGTGTGAATACATTCTGAATCTGATCCATTTCTAACTCCTCACCTTTTCAAATTTCTAAAAGTACCATTTTAGGCACATGGTCTTCTTGTGGGTCGATTCCTTCAAGATCAGGCACTACTGCATGTGTCGTCCTTCTACGTCACGGCCGATTGTGGACAGCAAATTGTGGTGATTCCTCCTGCGTTCTAGGTGTTCGCGTGGGAGGTCTGTTTTCTTTACTATTAGACAACTTCTGCTCCCAGTGGCCATGGTAGAGCAACTGTTTCAGAAGGTCGCTCTTGGTATCCAGTTGGCATCAGGGCCACGTCACCTCATTCACTAAATGCACGAGAAAGGGCAAGAGTGGCCAGGGATGGAGGACAAGTAGGAGCCTTGGCATTTCTTTCTCATTTTTACCTCAACATTTGTCATTTTCTCATTAACCGAGTGGTAGCAGATCAATGAAACTGGGAGGTACGAGTTAAGTATGAGTTGACTGCGAGTTTCAAACTCAAAATCAACATGTAAGAAACGGAAAATCCAGGGAATTTTGTTACCAAAGGAATGATAAGTTAAACGTTTACAAATAAGTTACAGAAATTTTCAAAGCCAAAGAAAATTTGATTTAAATTCGGAATCAACTCGCAGTTAACCTACAAGTAGCTCGTAGTTAAAAAATGAAATGAAACTGCGAGTGACGA